AATGCCACTGTGCTTGTCAAAGCCAGTTCTGATTAATCTTCTTTGTCAGTGTATCCTTTGCCATTCCCTATCACTCCTCCCTGAGAGAGACTTCACCCTGGGTCATAAGGAAAAGGGGACGGCGTATTCTCTTAGCTACTTCCTGCTGAAAAGGGACGCTGCCCCATCTTTCTTTTGTGGAGCAGTTATCCAAACCATGGCTTTGGATTGACAGCACAGCTCCTTACCTTAACCACCAGAGCTCCCCGGAGTTGCTGTGGGTAGGACTCAACAATAATGGGTTTCATTTGATTTATGAATACTATCTTAAAACCTGTGAAAACTGGAGCAGACATGTAGCAGGAAACCGCTGGAAAAGGAAAACTCAAAAGTTTCCACTGGGAGTCTTGCCGAGTGGCTCCCACAGGTTTCCCTGTAGCTTGTACACAAAACCGTTTCTTGAGATCTAGGCTCACTTGACATATTTAACTGCTCTGACAGCTCCTTTCCCTGATATCTACAGCAGATGGTTCATAACTAATGTTTCATTTTATTACATACACACTTTAGGTAAGTTACCCAGCGACTTGGAAGCTTCAGTTTCCTCACCTAAAATATGAGAATGAAAATCCAGAACTGGCATAAGGATGGTGTGAGCTGCTTATATTTCAAGTCCTTGGTGCATATTAAGTGCTTAGAAAAATTAGGGTTTGCAAATAAAGGTTTATGTCAATGTAGTAGATATGTACATATAAAGAATCATGACACTGAATTAATTTGAAACCATGTAACTAAAGGGTAGAGGATTATGATCAGTAGATATTCTTTGTTAAGCTATTTCATTTGGAAGAATATATTAAATTGTTTTTTAATTTGGTGTTTGCTTTTTCTAGTTTGAAAAAGAAAAGCAGCATGATATCCGATCATTCTTTTCACCCAAACTGAAGAAAAGGCAGTTGGTGACCTCCTGTGGGGAATCCAGGATGGGCCAGGAGAGCAGTACTGTAGAAGCATCAGGCCCTGGGGAAGTAGCTGCAGGAGACACCATTGAACATGAACATGATCTTGGACCTGGCCCTAAAAGGTTGAAATTGGATGCCATCCAGGATTGTGGTGATGCTCTGGAGGAGAAACCCCTCTTGCCTGGGCAAACCAAAGCTCCACTCCTGGAAGGTGACCCTGAGGCCAAGTCCCAGCCAGTCCCCCCATCTTTTCCTGAAAAGGGGTGGCAGTGTAGTCTCTGCACCTACATCAATAACTCCCTGTTACCTTTTTGTGAAATGTGTGAGAATCGTCGAGGCAGCACAAGTGAGTACACACGGGCCACCGTAGTAGTGGGGGCTGGTAGGGGTCTTCCACTCACTGTAGTAGCCACCCCGGCTGGTTCAGAGACTGTGTGCTGTTTTCAGAGGTTACTGTGACTCAGGAATTCACTTTCACTTCTAAACAGAAGGAAGAACTTTACATACTGAAGACTGAATTTATCCCCCTTTGAAATGTGAAAAGCTCTCAGTTCCATCAAGAATGTATATCCCCAAGCATGGCATTAATTTGGCACAAATGGACATTTCTGATTAATGTCAGCAGGATGTGAATTCAGTGGGCAAGAATAGAAGCTCTGTTGCTATGGCAACAAATATGCCTTCTAGTCATAGACCTGCTGTTTTTCTTTTCTTTTTAGATAGATAGTTCTTGGTTTTTAAAGAAATGTATGTGGTTTTTAATTTTTTTTTAAAAAAAGAATGTTTAAGTAGCAAAATAATACACTATATTATCTTTGCCTGGTAAATACATATCTTGCTATGTTTTTTTCCTCCAGCAATCCCTATATAAATCTATTACAGATGGGACTTGAACGGGTTAGAATCTGTTTAGTCATGGCTAATGGCATGAAATCAGAATAGACCAGACTTTTTAAGTACATCAATTACCCAAATGGGAAAAATTACAAGTCAAAGCCCTGGAATGGGAGATTGAGTATGAGTATAATGAACACTTTCAGGAGCCTGATGGGAGAGACATGGGCAGGACCATGGAGAGTGACACACTCAAATTGGTGTGGCTGGCACTCATCTTGAGCAAGGGAGGCATCATGTTTTCTGACTCTGTTGGTCAAGTGATTTAGTTGTTGTGCGACTCATACACTGCCCTTGTTTGATAAGAGAGAGATCAACTTGTATTTTTACGTGTCTACTAGGGGATCCACTTGTAATTTTTCCCTTTGTAGTTAATTTCTCTTTGTCAGCTATGACTGAACCTGGAAGGGCCTGTTTGAAGCTCTGTTTAAGAGCCAGCATGAGGTTTTGGATGAATTCATTTTTTTCTAAAATATTATTTAAATGTAGGCATCATAGAAATGTTGGCATTTGATATAGCATGATATACCATTTTCTAGTGTTTAGCTTTTTTGGAAAATACTATTAATACTTATTAATCATTAGTAATAATGAGCTTTAGTGGCTTAATGGGTAAGAAGTTGTGCTGCCAAGCCAAAGCAGGCTATTCAAATCTACCAGCTGCTTTGCAGGAGAAAAGTGGACAGTCTCTTCCCATGTGATTTACAGCCTCTGAAAACCTGCTGGAGGGTCAGCTGTAATGTGGTTCTGACTCAAAATAAAATCACAGCAGCAATTATTATTAATAGGGAGTGTTGACATTTCTAATGAGAACACCAAGTTGATAGTTTTGGAAACAAGAAGTACTTTTTTTATCAGTCATGATCATTTTACATGTCTGTTTTTCAGTCATCCTTTGGTTCTCCAGAACTGATACTAGTCTTAGCCTCAGCTAAGAAGTTCTAGTGTTTCGATTTCTTCTTTCCTGACTTGCTCTCCTTTTAGTTTGAATCTGAAGGAAAATGTAATCAGTAGCTGAATCTTTTATCCTTCATTTCTGGGTGTTCTTACCAAAACTGACAAGTTGGCCATCTGGGTGGTTATATTTATGATGTGGGCACCTGTTGTCTATGAACAGAATTGGAAGTACAAACTCGTGCCATATAATATCCTTGTCTCAATTAGCATTATCTGATTCAATTCCCAACTGCTTCAGGCAATAAAAATACATTTTCTCGTGACTATAAGATAATGTCAGTTCACACTGAGTATGTAGGTTGAGTGAAATAGGGACAAAATCCTATTTTAAGATGAGCTTCATAGTACTGATTTTAATCTTTTATAATGCTGAGGGAAACACTGGTTTCTACACCTTGGTCTAGTAAATGAACAGCCAGGCAACTTAAAACAAATGCCTTTTGTGACAGTGAGACAGTCTAATTAAAGAGAAAAAAAATGATAAAACACTACTATATGAAAAAGCTGTAATTATTCTATTAAGTTGTTATAATGATAGCCAGCTTTGATTTGAATGCACTCAAAAATATCAAAAGCAGAATTAATTCTAAATTAAATTAAGTCATGAATTTTTAAACAATGCCTGCCAGATAGTACCTGAAGAAAGGATAGAATTCAAAACTTTCAAAGAGCAGTGTCAGGACATTACAATCTTACGTGAGTTGATAATCTGATCTATAGTTCTGTGGATAAAGTTTGCTGTAGGATACATTGAATACTAATATTTGTTAGTATGTAAATCGATATGTTTGCATTGTGGTACTGAAAAAGCATATAGAACATACTGTGGACTGCCAAGAGAACAAACAGTTCTGTCCCGAAAAGGTTGAAACCAGGTTGCGCTTTGGCGGCAAGGATTTTGAATCTCCCTCTGATATTCTTTGGTCATGTTGCACAGAAGGACTGGTCCTTGGAGAAGGACATCATGCTTGGAAGAGTGGAGGGATGGCACAGGAGAGGAAGACCCTGGATAAAATGGACTGACACAGTGACATAGGGGCAATTGGGGTGGATATGTCGAGACAGTGAGACTGGCTCAGATCTGTAGTGCACAAGGTCCCTATGAGCTGCAGGTGGCTTGATGTCACATAACAACAAGAGTGTTTTTCTTTGTACTTTGTTGGCATCCTAACTTTTCTACTTATCACTGCTCTTTTACAGTGCATATCTTCCAGATTTGTATCTCTCATGGATTAGATTGGATCTATCCAGCAGCCTATAATATCTAAGTACTCTCTCAAGTTTAACATGTCTAAATGGAATTCTTGATTCATTCCTATCCCCACCACATTAATATCCAACATTCCAGTCTTCTCTCCTCCCTCCCCCACCCCACCCCGATCTTTTCTACATCCTTCTAAACACCTAGGCACTGCCCTTACCTCCCTTATTTGCTCCATTAGCAAGTTCTGTTGGTGGAACCTCCAAAATATATCTTGACTCCAGCCATTTTATTGCCGACATCTGATTTGAAGCCACGATCACCTCTCCCAGATCTCAGAAACCTCTCACTCATTGAAATGTCGTTGATTCAAAACTGACTCATAGCTGACCCTCAACCATGTTTTCGGAGGCTGTAAATCACACAAGAAAACACTGCCCATCTTTTTCCTGAGGATCCCCTTGCGGATTCAAACTGCTAGAAAGATGCAGTATTTTTGTTAGAAGCGTAGTTCCCTGTGCACTGCATCGCCAGAGCTCTGATAACTCGACAGTGAATAAGGATTACAGAAAAAGAGTTGATGCCTTTGAGTTGCGGTGTTGGAGAAGAGCACTGAATAACCCCACGTAATCCCAAAAGAACACTCTTGGAGAGAACACAGCCAGAGTGCTCCTGGGAAAAGATAATAAAGCTTCACCTCACATACTTGCTAGGAGAGGCTGTTCCTTAGAGAGGGACGCCATGCTTGTAAAGGTGGATGATCAGCAAAAGAGAAGATACTCAACGAGATGGATTGATACAGCTACTGCCTCAATGAACTCAAGTGTGTCAGAAATTATGGTGGTGGCACAGAATAGGATAGGTTCAGCTCTATTGTTCATAGGTTCACCACGGGTTGTACTTGACCTGAGGACACCTAACAACAACAGAAGTTCTTGGCATGTAGTGGAATCTCAATAGTCATGCTCTGAAAGATGAACATTGTTAACTTTGTTTCTTTTAATAATTTTTTTTAATATATAGGTAACTCTGCTAGCATAATCTGTAAGGAATTATACTGTTAAGCCAAAGGTGACACCCATCTAGCAGTTCAAATTCATGGAGCCTCTGCATAGGAGAAGGATGGTCACTTTCCTTCCTTGTGATTTACAGCCTCCAAAAATTCCCCAAAGGGTCAGAGACAGAGTCAGTTCTGACTGAATGACAATAAGTCGAGCCTCTTTTACTTTTTAGAAATAACAATATAATAAATGTTTTCTCTTTAAATTTTTAACTAGACATACAGTAACTAATGACTTTCTCTAAATTGAAATGTAAATTTCTTATCTGATTTTTTCCCCTTATCTTATTTTTTAAACTCTACACATAGACAGCCACAGCCCTACCCAGAATGAAAACAAAAATAGGAAAGAAGATTGTCAGGAAGACACCTCCAGAAAAGTGGAAACTCACCTTGACTGTGAAAAACAAGTTCTCGCCCACCCAGCACCTGAATTGTTACCCGAAAACAAGGAAGACCAAGAGGAAATTGAAAGGGAAGGTGGACTCAGCCCCCAGCCAGGTAAGTCTTGTTTTCAGAGCCACAGCATCCAAATGATAACCATATTTTGAACAAAGAGAGAAAACCTCTAATTATATGTAACCATATGCTTACAGAACAGATGGCTAGAAGATTGTTGCCATTCAGAAATTACAGAGAGGAAAAATGAACAGCAACAAGTCCTGCCACCAGGCCCACTGCCAGCCCAAGCCAGACCTTGCCCGTTCCCAGTCAGAGTGCTGTTTTGATATTGGGGGTGTTTTTTGGACAAAGTAGTATATTGATCATAAAATTAACAGATCTAGGTTTTAACTACCAAAGCGTATACTCTGATTCATGGTGACTTTGTGTACAAGAGAAATACTTGCCCATAACTGCAGCCTGTGGACAGTTGTCTGCATGTTCTGGTCCATTTTTGTAGCTGTCATCATGCTATCTCACCAAAGGTCTTCCTCACCCATGTTGTCCTATCACCAGATACGTTGTTGTTTTGTTGTTATGCACTGTCAAGTCAAAACCAACTCATAGCTGACCTCCCAGCAGGTTCTCAGAGGCGGTAAGTCACATAGGAGGGGCTTGCCCATCTTTTTCATTTCTGGCAGCTAGTGGAACTGCATGTCTTCAGGTTGGCAGCTCAGTTCCCTACCTCTAGGCCACCAGAGCTCTCTTACTCGATCTGATATCCCCCCAATGATGTATCTAAACCAAGCAAGTAACATAGTGATCCCTAAAGTTTTCATTCACTGATTTGTAGAAACAGAATGCCAGGCCTTGCTTCTAGAATTGGAGCAGCATGCAAAACACCACAGTCCGACAAACTGACAGACAGATGGGGAATCAGACACTTTATGTGTAAATTTCATTTAATTGGCTTATTATAAAATTTAGTATGCTGTATTTCCCCCCCACACACACAGAGGAAATGGTTTTAAGGAGCATAATTTTAAGGCAATATGGATACTGACTACATTTGGATCAGTCAAATAGTGTTATGAATTTATTTACTTTTTGGTTTATTCTATTCCTTATTTGTAGTTGTGACAATTAACACCACCAGCCTGTATGTCATACGTTACTGTCTTTTATGGGTCAGCTGGCTCAAAGATTGTCAGTACTTTAAATTAATTTTCCTTACTAGTGAAAGTGACCCCAGTAACCCACAGATTGATAGTCTCATTATAACAAACTCAAAACTGTTAGGATGGGACTATTAAACATTCATATAAGTTAGAGTTAAATTTATAGCTTTAACATGAAATATTAATTTAAGAATTTCTGAACTCAGATATCCTCTTTTCTTCTTCCTTTTCCTTGCCTTTCCTTGCCTTGCCTTTCCTTGCCTTGCCTTGCCTTGCCTTGCCTTGCCTTGCCTTACCTTGCCTTGGCCTCGGCCTTGGCCCTTTCCTGGCCTTGGTCTTGGCCTTGGCCTTTTCCTTGTCCTTTTCCTTGTCCTGTCCTGTCCTTTCCTTTTTCTGATTCCTCTAGACCTTCCCAGAGATCATGTTGGACTGGATCCTGTCTTATATCCCTGTTTATTTTGGTAGCCTTTAAGTAAACAGTGTGCACTCAGATGAAACTATAGTTTTGTTGTAATTCTGATACTATTCTGATAGTCTAAAATAGTATATATGTTCTACTACTCCTCTGTTATCCTAAAATAGTATATATTCTGGAATTATGGTTTTGTTGTAATTTGAATTTTAGAGATCTGAAAGATAGGCTGTCTCTTCAAATAATGCATCATTAGGATAGAACTGCTAAATTATACTTCATGAAAACACTTGAAAGGAATATGTTCTCTCAAGCAGCTGTTAGATACAAAGAATGATTATTAGCCAGTTAAGAATTATTCTCACAAAATCATACTTTTATCAAAGAATGACCTCTGATCTTTAAGCTTTAATGCAGTATCCATAGCCCTTCAAATTTAAAGATGTGCTGCTTGTCAAGTGCATATATCTTGTACACTATTAAAGAGAAAGAGAAAAAAAACCTTCTCGATTAAACTATGATGGAGGAACTCAGCAGTGGTCCAGACCAGTTCATTTATCAAAGAATGACCTGGCAACAGTGTTTGTAAGAAAATATGGTCATTGTCTCAAGAATGAGTAGGTGTGCTGGTGCAAGATAGGGTAAGGTTTTGATCTGCATTTCATGGGATTGCTATGAGTCATAGTCAACTCAGTGGCACCTAACAGCACCACTAAGCACTGAGGTCTTAGTTAAGTTCATATGCTTCAGTTTCTTTATCTGTAAAATGTACTACTTCTGAGAGCTATTTGAAATCTGAATGAGCCTGTCTATCTAGAAGAGTACTTGGCACGTTTTAAGTGCTTGATGAACACTAACTGTGATTATTGTTTATGCCAGTTTGAGCCCTAGGCCTAGCTCTCTTATAGAACATATTGTTCAGTGGGACTGTGCAAATGGTTAGATTAAAATATAATCAGAAAGAAAGCCTGTCTACTCCCCTCCTTTTGAATATGAGGCTCTAAGATATAGGGAACCTGTGATTTAAAGGTTATATCAAAGCATGGATGTATCGCTGCTGATAATCAAAATGGTGCCCATTCAGTCAACATTCTAGAACAAGACATAGAGTCTAGTTTCCTTTACAACTCTTAGTATTGGCATGTTCTTCCTTATGCCTGAATTATATTTTTTCCATTAGTTCAGTTTTTATTTATTCTTTGTTAAATCATTAGCAAAAAATTAAAAGAAACTGGCTGGTAATTGCCATGTTGCAATTCAACTATCTTTGTTGTTAGTTGCCAGTTATATCTGTATGGAAGAACTGTGCCTCTTCGCATTTTCCACGTTTTGTCTTTCAAGCCATCTCTGAGTAGGTTTGAACAACCAGTTGTTCCATTCGCAGTTGAGCGTCTCAGCTGGATGTGGAGTGTTAACCATCTGTGCCACATAGGGACTCCCAGGGATTCTTTTGAAAGACTGGTTTCATTATTCTAATCTGCAGATAATTAAGATAAGCAATTTTTTGAAAGATTATACATTAAGATTGAGGTTTCCCATTTATCTTCTTTACTAGGAGAGTTGAAGAATGCAGAGGCTTTGCCCATATATGATATCTTAATGTTTTGTGCAAGTAGGAATACTGACCGGATTCATCTCTATACTAAGGTAAGCAGCATGCAGACTTTGCAAGATAAAATATGTAGAAGCCTTCCTTTTTTTCCCATTTCAATGGAAATATTTAATTTTATTAACAGTAAGGTGAACACTAAAGTTAATTCTCAAATCTCTATGTAAAAGCTAAAAATACTGAGAGAGAATAGCAGGGCAGTTAAGTACACAGACTTCATGGTCAGCCTCCTTTCAGTTCCATATGTCTGTCATTTTTCCAGCTGTGCTTTGTTGGGCACATTACTTAGTTACTCTGTGATGTCCCTTTCTGAACTGTAAAATGTCGAGAAGAGCTGTTGCAAGAATAAAATCAAGAAATTAATTTTTTATCAAGCTTTTGTTGTTGTTGTTAAGTGCCATCGAGTCATACACAACTCATAGTGACCCTAAGAATGAAGGACCTGAACATTTATATAAAGCCTAGCCACACTAATCTCTTAAAAACTCAAGAAAACCAATTTGCTCTGTGAACTTTTACTCAAATCACAGGTTTAAAAAAAACCCAAAACTTATAAACTCATTGCTGTCAGTCTGAACTGACTCATATCTGATGTTTCAGTAGGTTTTCAGAGGTAGTGAATTGTATAGGAGAGGGTTACCCATGTTTCTCCATAGAACAGCTGGTGGATTTGAACTACCTACCTGCCTTTGGGTTGGCAGTGCAGCTCTTTATTCATTAGGCCACTAGAGTTTCAATAAGAAGTTTTAAAAAATAAAAACCATTAGCTCCTGTACTGATCATTAGTAGCAATCACAATTGCTTTGCAAAAGCCTGTCCTTATTGAGTGAATGGTAGGAAGTTTGAGTCGTATGATTGTGTAAATTCCTGCCACAGCCTGCATTCGCATGCTCCAGATTTTTCATCTCAAAACCACTTCACATTCTTATAAATTATTGACAGTCCCCAGTATTAACTATCTCCATTAATATCACCATATTTTAAATTAAAATTAAGACATTCATTTATTTATTAATTCACTTTAAAATAATCAAGAAACTGTACTATTTCTATAAATGTTTCTATGTAAATACATTTTTGTGGAAAAAGTAAATTTTTAAAAACAAAAATATTTGTTGAGTAGATTGTGGCATCATGCATGGTTAGCCTTAATACAAGACAGCTGGACTCTCTGTCTGCCTGAGCATTCCGTGTGTTGTGATATCGCTTGTCCTGTAGCCTCTGGAAAGCTGGTACTCTCAGGAGAGAATGTTAAGTGAAAAGGCAAATAGAACCGTGCTCAAAAGAACTCAGATTCGTTCCTATCAGTTGGAATCTGCTCACAGCTGACCTCCAGCAGGTTTTCCTAGACTGTGAATCACATATGGGAGGGGATTGCCCATCATTCTCCCTTGGAGACGCAGGGGAGTTCAAACCGACAGAGGGGCACCACCTCGTAACCATCAGGGGCTAGAAGCTCAACTATCTATGGGCCACTTTTAACCTTGTGAATTCCCTGATTGGTCTTGGGAATCCTATGAGAATCTTTGTCCAAGATAGGTTAGTGTGAGTATTTAAGGAGACAGCTGATTTTAAAAAATGTGAAAAATTTAGTTTAGTCCAGTTCCCAAAAAATCTAAACCCACTGCCATGAGTCAACTCAGAGTAGCCTTGAGGACAGGATAGAACTGGCCTGAAAGACTTCACTGACAGACTGCCATTTTCTCCCACTGAGCAGCTGGTGGATTCAATCCATCTATCTACCTTTTAGGGAGCCCTAGTGGCTTCGTGGTAATGAGTTACACTACCAACACAAAGGTCATGCAGTTTGAATCCACCTGCTATTCCTGGAAAAGATGGGCAATCTCTTCCCCTGCGGTTTTGTGCCTCTGAAAACCTGCTGGAGAGTCAGCTAACACCAACTTGAAGGTACACCGCAACATCTACCTTTTGGTTAACAGCTCAGTCCATTAACCACTGTGCCACCAGAAAAAAAATAAACGGACTAATCTTTGAGTTATTGGGGTTTGATTGGTTGGTTGGTTGGGTTTTTTTTCCCCCTTAAGCTAGATACAGTTAACAGATGCTGCCCTGGACGTGCTCACCAAGTTGTGCCAAGAAATCTGGAGAGCAACCACTTGGCCGACTGAATGGAAGAGATCTATATTTGTTCCCATCCCAAAGGAAGGTGACCCAACAGAGTGTGGAAACTATAGAACATTCTCATTGATTTGACATGCAAACAAGATTCTACTGAAGATTTTCCAAAAACGACTGGAACAGCACATCAACAGAGAACTGCCAGAAGTTCAGGCTGGGTTTAGAAGGGGTCGTGGTACTAGTTGTAGCTGATGTTAGATGGATCTTAGCTGAAAGCAGAGAATACCAGAGGAATGTCTTTCTGTGTTTCATTGACTATGCAAAGGCATTTGACTGTGAGGATCATAACAAACTGTGGCTGACTCTGAGAAGAATGACAATCCCAGAACACTTGATCGTTCTAATGCAAAACATATACTTGGACTAGGAGGCAGTTGTCAGAACAGAGCAAGAGAACATTGCATGGTTCAAAATTGGGAAGGGCGTGCGCCAGGTATGTGTCTTGTCTCCATACCTTTTTAACTTGTATGCAGAACAGATTATCCGGGAGGCTGGGCTCTATGAGGAGAAATGTGGGGTCAAGATTGGTGGAAGATCTATCAACAATCTGCGTTATGCAGATGACACAACCCTGCTTGCTAAAACTGAGGAGGACCTGAAGCAACTGCTCCAGAGGGTCAAGGACTGCAGCAAGAAGATAAAGATTCTCACCACTGGACCAATTGGCAGTGTCAGGATGGATGGTGAAGAGATTGAGATTGTTCACAGCTTTGGTTTGCTTGGCTCCATAGTCAACACTCTTGGCACCAGTAGCCAGGAAATTAAAAGGCACATTGCCATGGGAAAGTCTGCTGTTAGGGACCTCTCCAAAGTACTGAAGAGCAATGGTGTCTCTCTGGAGACTAAGGTGTGTCTGATACAGGCCATGGTCTTCACAATCACTTGTTATGCATCAGAAAGTTGGACAATGACCAAGGAGAATTGATGCATTTAAGCTGTGGTGCTGGAGAAGAGTATTGAGAGTACCATGGACTGCTAGGAAAACAAACAAATTTGTCCTGGAAAGGGTTAAACTGGGTGGCTCCTTGGAGGCAAGAATTCTGAGACTCCGTCTAACATACTTTGGACATGTTGTGAGGAGAGACCGGTCCTTGGAGAAGGACATCATGCTTGGGAGGGTGGAGGGACAGTGCAAGAGGGGAAGGCCTTCTATGAGGTGGATTGATTCAGTGACTGGGATAATCGGGATGGGAGTGTCAGAGACAGTGCGATTGGCACAGGACAGAGCAGAGTTTAAGGCTGTTGTACAGAGGGTCGCTATGAGTTGCAAGCGACTCGATGGCACATAACAACAACAGGTACAGTTACAGATAAGTGTTACATGCTATTTAGTTACTAGAAGACAATGACTAGGATCTTTAATATAGAAGCTCCCAGGCAGCCTGTAGCATACGGCCACAGCCAGAAAGGAATGCCAAGGACCATGCCAGACTATACACAGTGCTCTTCCTATAGGCTTGGCTCTGTCTCACCGAGTGGAGCCTCTCCATCCATTTGGCCAGGCTGAGCGGGTACCAGGAGCTGATACTTCTCTAGAAGCAGTTCAGAGTCCCGAAGCCAGGTTCCCAGTGGGATTGAACCTCAAGAAGTCAACACATAGATGCCAGACAGAACGTACTGCAGGAATTCAGAATCTTTTCCACCCCTTGCGCTTAATACTCTCTTCCATGAAAGCTCAGCCTCCATGATGATCTGAGGGTGGCGACAGTGGGAGAGACTTCAGACTTCCTGGTGGAGGGTCGGGTATGCCTGCTATTCCGCCACAGGACAGTGACAGCCTGTCACCTAAACTGTGTAGCAGAGGCCGCTTCACCTTCTTGAGGTCTCTGTTAGTGGTTTCTAGTGCATTTTTATGTCTGTGTTGTAACATATGTCCTTTTGTCATTCAGTTCATTTTCTTAACATGAAACATTCATGAGGTGAAATATTAACATGCATTTTCACAGCTACACTAAGGTTGAGATGAAAGCTTTCTCTTTTCTGTCTTAAAAGAGGTGAAGTTAAAATCTGGAGTAAAGATTTGAAAAATCTAAACCAATAAAAAGTCCTACTTCACAATCTAAAAGAACCCTCTTGAAGGAAGAACAGTACCAGACTTTGAGCATCCTGTGTGAGAACATAGCCTGTCTCAAAAGCCCAGTGTTTCAACCAGGATCTCAAGTCTAGCTAAGGGTTTGGGAGAGTAATTATAAATCTAAACTTGCAATCAGTATATAAGAATTTTTTGGGTATTCCTTCCCAAGTACTTGTGGGAGGCAGTTATAACATTTTATTTTGCCTGAAGGAATTAGAATAGGAACTCAACCATTTCATATGCAGAACTTCTTCCCCTTTTTAAAAGATAACTTTAACTCATGTTGAACCAGCTTCCATTCATGTTACAGTTATTCTCCAAGGAGAAAGGAGCTCAGTCTTATTGGCAATCACTCCTCACGGATCCATATTATTTTCAGGGAGCAAATGTTTAAATTGACTCTGTAGAAGTACATTTTTGCTTTGTAGCCTCCATCGTTCCTTTTCCAGTGGGGGGACTTGTCAACCAAGCAGTGAAGGGTGATTCCATCCTTGGCTATCAAATGACCATAAAGAAGTTTATTTATTAATTTGGGAGTGGTTGCTCTACAGTTAATTTAAAGAATTTCTTTCTCATTGATCTGCAATATACCCATTTCGTTGTTTTGATGCTTATGTAAAAAAATAGGCAGTAGAGAGGAGTATGACAGAGCAGTGTACACAGCATCCCAGCCTAATGCAGGAGGTTCAGGATCTGTGGGGTCAGGCCCTCTGCCCTCTCCCTAACCCTACCCCAACCTCCTTCACTCAGCCAACTCTTCAGAGTAACCATTTTGAGTAGAATTTTGTCAAGAATTTGCCAGTTTTGCTTATCTTCTAGGAAACTAGGATTGTTGTGCTGTTTTAGTGTCCACTGATGCTGTAATAGAAATACCACATACTAGAGCCTTGAAAGGGAGCTCTGGTGACCTCACAGATAGAGACTTTCTCTGCTAACCCAAAGATAGAAAGTTCGAATCCACCAGCTGCTCCCTGGGAGAAAGATGGGCAATCTCTTTCCACGTGATTGACAGCCTCTGGAAATCCAGTAGGGGGTCAGATGTGAATCAGTTTCAAATCAACCACACAGAGACAGAGAGAGAGAGAGACTTAAAGAAAACAAATGTATTTCTTCATAGTTCAGAATGTTAGGAGTTCAAATTTAGAGCACTGAGTCTCTTTTGATTTGGGGAGATGGTCTTGTCCATTTTGGCTCCAGTAGCCCCAGCATTCCGTGGTGCCTCGGCTCTCTTCATCCCACTTCTGTTTCTCCTGTTTGTTTGCTTCTATGTCAGAATTTGCTTTTTCTGTATGTAGGATGACTGATTTTAAGATTCACTCTATTCTTATTAATATAATGTAGAAAACCCTATTCTCAAATGGATATATCAGCAGGTAGATGGGTTAGGATTCTAGCACATATTTTTTGGATACACAGTTCAATGTGCAGTCCAGAGCTGATACCATAATAGAATGATTTCCTTTTGAAATAATTTCTTGCACCTAAAGACAAACTCACTCCCAAAAAATTGATTAATAATGTCTTTCTCTTTTTTAATCAGGATGGAAAACTGTTGAACTGTAATTTCATTCCTTTGGATATAAAATTAGACCTTTGGGACGATTTACCAGCAAACTTTCAGCTGAAACAAAATCGGTCGCTGGTAAGAATTATCTTATATGTTCATTTCAAATAACAATCGGTTTTTTAATTTAATTGATTGGGTTCGAATTACTAAAAGCAGACCCCTTCATGCATGGCCTGTTGCGGTTGGGATTCTAGCTGCATTTCAGTCAGTGCAGGAAGTGCCTCTTCATTACCCCAGTGCTAAGATTCAGTGTGAAACCTGCTTGCTCGGCAAGTGATCACACCTAGAGTTGCTGTTTCTCTGGGTAGAGTCATCCTTGCATCCTTTCATTTCTCATTCACAGGATTAGCAACTGTGATATTTGTATCCGACAGCATCATATTTTATCATTTGAGGTTAAAATCAAACAGTGATAACTTCTGAGAGTAGAAACAGTTGTCCCCAGTGGGCAGGCCATCGTCCTGATCTGCAGCCACCTTGCCTGCCTTACTAAAACAAGGTGGTGTTGACACAGCCACTAGGCCCATCTGCAATGTAACTTTTATTTTATCTTCTCTGCTGATTGAAGCATGGCCCACAGGTCTTATAAACAGTCACCAGTCCGTTCCAACTTCTGACTAACTTGTGAGTATCAGAATAGAACTGTGCTCCAGAGGATTTGCAGTGACTGATACTGGGGCATAAAATGTCAGACCTTTCTTCTGAGGCACCTTTGAGTGGGCCTGAACCTCCAAGTTTTCAGTTAGCAGCCAAGTCTGTTGCTCTTGCCATCAAGTCAGTTCCATCTCACGTGAGCCAGTGTGATACAGATTGGGACTAGGTTTTCTTGGCTACAGTCTTATTGGAAGCAGTCACTCTTGTTATCTGTAGCTGTGCTGCATAGTTTCAAACCACCAACCTTCAGATCATCAGTCATGTGCAAACCATTGGCTTAGAGCTTAAAATGCTTGGCTGCTGACCAAATGATGGGCAGCTTGGATCCACCCACCAAGCAGTGGGTTGATTCAGTGATAATGGGTTTTGGTTTAGAGACCTGTTCAGGTATTATTGTTATGTACCATTGAGTCAGAACTGACCTTTCAGTGGTTTTTAGATACAGTACATTATAGGGGTCATCATAGACTGATATTCTAAGCACCAGCTGTCTTCCTACTCTAAGTGGTTCTGCCATAAGTGCTGTCAATGAAAAGATTACCCATCTTTATCCCACAGCCCAACTAGTGGATTCGAACCACCTTCCTTTGGGTTGGTATGCAACTCCCCTAATAAAAAGGTCCCAGATTTATTCTGAGCTGTTACTCCTATTATAGGTATACATAGCAGGGCCTCAAACTGGTTCCATCTAGTTCAGTCATGGCAGGCAGAATGAAATTGGAAGACCTGAATTTTTTAATTTGGATGAAACAAGGGTGGCTCGAAGAGGACAGTCATAATCTGGGATGGAGACTTGAATGAGCTCTTCTAGGATCGTGGTGCTGGAGATTATTGGCTTGTTGCCAGGACTGTGGTGACTGGCACACACTCAGAAGTGTGTGCAGTTGGCTGGCATATCTAAGCCAGATACTGCTGTTTGACTTTGCCTTCCAAGGGATTTGGTTGTTATGTAATCCAAATGTGTTCTTTGTTTTTTAAAAGAAACTACATTTCTTGCAGTATATTGTCTGTAATTTTTTCCATTCCAGTTATTATTCTTATTTACTCACATTTAAAATTCAGGTACAGTCCAGTTTCACGTTGTCAGCCATAAGTGAACCTGGGAGGATGGGTTGAAGCCCTGGTACTTGGCCATTCGCAAATGTTTCACAGCACAGCCAACTGGCTCTGGGGCTCAGGGAGTGCCTTACCGCCGATGGTCCTCAGTGCATTAAGGGCATGACGGTGACTCCTGAGAGAAGACTCGAGAGTCTTTGAGTTAATTGTAATTGCTTTAGAAGTGACTGGAGATAGTTCACAACAAAGATAGAAATCTATAGCAAATTAAAAGAAGTCTTTAATTGGAAACCTGTTTTGGGGATATAATAAAATGTAGGTTTTTTTTCTTTTTATTATTATTAAATTTTATTTGTTTTAATGAACATTTACAGGGATTTTGGGTTTTCATTCCTTCATTACTGCACCATTCTCTCTACCCTCCTCCCCGGTTTGTTCTTCTTCCCCCGCCCTCCGAATGTCTGTTTTAATTGTCCAATTGCCAGAGTGCTTGTCAAAGCCAGTTCTGATTAATCTCCTTTGTCAGTGTGTCCTTTGCCATTCCCTATCACTCCTCCCTGAGAGAGACTTCACCCTGATTCATATGGGAAAGGGGATGGCGTATTCTCTTAGCTACTTCCTGCTGAAAAGGAACGCTGTGGGTTTCAGGGTGAATGTCTTCTCTCAGTACTCTAAAGGGCCCCTCTGGCAGTAGGAAACACATAGACTATTATGGAGATTGATTTTGGAATTTAGGTGCACTGTTATTAATTGTGCTTAGCCATACATGTTCATATCCTTGAAGATGTATCATGGGGGTGTTGCAACCTAGAAGACACAAATTTAACTAACAAGTTAAAAGTACATGAGTCAAAAATTATGGAAAAGTAAAAGAAAAGATTCTTTCATTGTTTTAAAAATGCTCCCCCAGGTCCCCTCCCCCATGTAGCCATCGCTCTAGACTCCTGTCATGACAGAAATACCTAGTCACATATCTCTTTTAAACAGTTTTCTCCCTCCTCTGTTTCAGTGCAGTATACATTATTGAACCCATCTTACTCCATCTCTCCCCAACCCCGAGGTTAGTCCCATTCTACAACAGTGGCATCATGCAATATTTGTCCTTTTGTGACTGGGATATTTCACTCAGCATAATGTTCTCCAGAGTCAACCATTTTGAATAGTATTGCATGAGTTCCTTGTTTTTTAATGCAGCATAGTATTCCATTGTGTGACTATACCACAGCTTCTCTAGCCATTCGTTTGTTGATGGGCACTTAGGTTGTTTTCAACTCCTTGCTATTGTGAACAAGGCTGCAATAAACATGGGTGTGCATAAATCTGCTTGGATGTCAGCTATGTTCTCTTCAGGGTATATTCCCAGTAGTGGAATTGCTGGGTCAAATGGTTTCTCTATTTGCAATTTTTTGAGAAAGCGCCGTACTGCTTTCCACAGGGGTTGCACCATTTTACACTCCCACCAACAGTGAATCAGGGTTCCAGTTTCTCCACAACCTCGCCAGCATTTGTTGCTTGCTGTTCTGTTAAATTTTGCTATTTTGACTGGGGTGAGATGATATCTCATAGTTGTTTTAATTTGCATCTCTCTTAGGGCTAGGGATTTTGAGCATTTCTTCATGTGCTTGTTAGCCATCTGAATGTCGTCTTCGGTGAAGTGCCTGTTCATATCCTGTGCCCATTTTTCTATTGGATTACTTACCTTTATCTTGTTGTGGTGCTCAAGTATTTCATAAATTCTGGATATAAGTCCCTTATCTGATATGTTATTACTGAATACTTTTTCCCAGTCAGTGGCTTCCCTTTTTACCCTGTTGGAGAAGTTTTTGGATGTGCATAGGGATTTGAGTCTTAGAAGATCCCATTCATCTATGTTATCTTCTCCTGGTTGTAGGTGTAGTTTTTTTTTAATTGTAAATAGCCCAACTTTCAAAGAAACTTGCCTAGTGAGCCACTAACTCTTTTCATGATCTCATTTTCTGCCAGATTTTGAAGTTCATCCGAGAATGGAGTAGTCTAACTTCCATGAAGCAGAGAATCATCAGGAAAAGTGGCCAGATCTTCTGTAACCCGATTCTGGCTTTTGAAGAGATCACAAAGCAGCAGCCCAGACAAAACAGTACCAAACGGTATGGTTGTCTCTCTGATTTTATTTTGTTGTTTGAACTTTTATGGTCATTTCTGCAGAGGGTCCAGGCATTTTATGTAATCACTGTTAAGAGTTAAGAGAAAATTATACCTAGAATGACAACTTATTTTATAGCTCCATAGTAAGATACTATTTTTCATTTGATCAGGTATGTTGAAGATGATCCCTCTTGCCTAGCTCTTGTTCATCCTAAGTCCCACTCATCAGTGGAGATGCCAGAGTCATAGGGTAGGGGAACCCTTGACCTGCCAAACCTGGACCACCTACAGCAGAAAGACCGTTGCTTCTTAGAACCTTAGCCTGAGCCCCTGTGCCCTGCATTGCAAGGGTGTGGACTTGGGGTGCTGTGCAGCGAGGAAGCTGGTTGTGAGTGAACATGCCAACATAAAATGATGGATGGTACCCATCATCACACCCGTGATTGGGAATGGGATGGGAGCAAAGACTGACTGCAGACATTTGCGATTGCTCAGCTTCTGTCATTCCAGACCCCTTTCTCATCTCGCCTATCTTTGCCAACCTCAAATATTGCTTTATGTGATAACAGATCCCTATAGCTTTACAGTTCTCTTCCCTTAGCATAAAGCAAGCATACTGGGAGAAAGTGGCTAGCTGTTGAATCACCCAGGTCTTGCTTTTGAAGAGATCACAGAGCAACAGCTTTGGCAGGAAAAGCCTCCTTGCTTTTGCTGCCTCCATATGTCTGTAATGAATTCCTTTTCACCTTCACATTCCATCACTTTCTGATCTCTGTCTTCAGGTCTTCCCATGAATAAATGAAGAAGAAAACTGTCATATGGGGATGAGTGGCTGATTAAATAAATGATGTAGCTCCCTGTAGGGATGGTCTCTTTTGTTGTGTCAGTGTACCAGGCAGCTATGTTCATATGTGAGGACTTGGAATGATATTCATGATGATGGGTAAAAAGAAGTGTAATAAAAAAACCCAGACATTTGAATGATTAGCAGTACTTACATAGACAGGGTGGTGTGAAAGAATACCTTGGAAACTCCTCAAGGGGTCCCTGAAAGGCAGCAATTCTTGTTTCTCAGTGCTTTTTATAACAGAGGGAGCTCTGATGACCTAGCAGTTAAATAAAAAACATGTGATTCTAATCCATCAGCAGCTTGTATGCATTTACAGCTTCTGAAAACCTGCTGGAGGGTCAGCTTTGAATTGGTTCAAAGTCGAGAGCAATGAACAACAGCAACGTTCATAGTAGTTTAAACTGTTTACTCTGTAGCCACAGCTGTGCTCCAAAGCAAGGCAGCAGTGTTGAGCCTTGGACAAACCCTCCCTTCCCACTCCTGTTGCAATCCGAGGATCAGGTTAGCAGACATTGTTCTCCCTTCCCTATTATCTAAAACCAGTATTTTATAATCCTTTTAAGAATTGGTGTATATATACCTGAACTTCCTAGCAAACTTCCATGGGAAGTTAAATATTGGAAAATTACAGAAAAGTTTTGAAAAGTTGTCAGCCTCTGCTCTGGAATTGATTTATCTGTTTCTTGTGGTTTATAAAAATTTGTGCTTAAACCTCTTATAGGAAAGCAAGAGCTTATTTTTAGTTTCTAAATCTCTGAATCGATTTCTCAGCACCTTTTAAAGCTACTGAATTAGGTTTCTGAGTTTCTAAACAGCAAATAATACCTGAGGCAAGGCTTAATATCCTATTCCCCCTCAAAGCTAGGAAGCTTTTGAATACATTTAGAACCCACAGAAATACTTTAGAGAAGTGCTTTTGTCAAGGGTATAAAATGGCTAAAGAAATGGGGAAGTTTAGGAACTAAAAAGTGCAAGTTAAGGAACTCTAAAACAATTCACTGTGACTTCTTGTTTTGTTTTAAAGGGAATAGTTAAGTGAGAATGTAAACATATAAAAAATATTCACCATTGCTTTTAATAGGTGAAAGAAAACACCTAACACTATTAGCAGAAATACGAATAAATTAAATACTGTTAGTCATAGTATAAGAATGCATTCATCTCATACATTGTTGCTGTTGTTGTTATGTGTCTTTGAGTTGCCTGTGACTCCTAACAACCTAAGTACAACAGCCCTAAACCCTGCTCTATCCCTTGCCAATCTTATTGTCTCTGATACACCCACCCTGATTACCCCAGTAACTGAATCAATCCATCTCATTGAGGGTCTTCCTCTTGCGCTGTCCCACTACCCTCCCGAGCATGATGTCCCTCTCCAATGCCTGATCCTGCCCTGCAACGTGTCCAAAGTATGTCAGAAAAAGCTTCAGAATCCTTGACTCCAAGGAACAACCTGGCATCATCTTTTCCAGGACAAACTTGTTTGTTCTCTTAGCAGTCCATGGTATATTCAATACTCTTCTCCAGCACCACAGCTCAAAGGCATCAGTTATCCTGTAATCCCTAGTCATTGTCTAGCTTCTGCTGCATAGCAAGTAATTGCAAAGATCATGGCCTGTATCAGGCGCACCTTAGTCTCCGGACTGACATCATTGCTTTTCAGTACTTTGGAGAGGTCTCTGACAGCAGATTTCCGAATGCAGTTTGTTTTTTAATTTCCTGACTGCTGGTACCAAGAGTGTTGATTGTAGAGCCAAGCAAACAGAAGCTATCAACAATCTCAATCTCTTCACCATCTATCGTGATGCTATCAGTTGTCCCAGTGGTGAGAATCTTTATTTTCTTGATATTGAGCTTCAGTCTATATTGAATGCTGCAGTCCTTGACCCTCTGCAGCAAGCACTTCAGGTCCTCCTCAGTTTCAGGAAGCAGGGTTGTATCATCTGCATAATGCTGATTGTTGATGAGTCTGCCTCCAGTCCTAATGCCACATTTCTCCTCATAGAGCCTAACCTCCTGGATAATTTGTTCCGCATATAGATTGAAAAGATATGGAGATAGGACACATCCTTGGCACACACCCTTCCCAATTTTAAACCATGCATACAGTGTTTCTTTGCTCTGTCCTGGTGACTGCCTCTTGGTCTAAGTATAGGTTTCCCATAAGGACAATCAAATTTTCTGAGATTGCCATTCTTATGAGTCAGTCAGTTTGTTGTGATCTGGAAAGTCAAATGCCTTTGCGTAGTCAATGAAACACAGATAGACATCCTTCTGGTACTCTCTGCTTTCAGCCAAGATCCAAATGACTCTACCTATCATATCCCTAGTACCACAGCCTCTTCTAAAGGCAGCTGTAATGGAGCGAGTCCCCAAAAAGATCACCAAGCCAATTAGCCGAATTAACAAAGTTTATTACGAGTTCGAACCCGGGCTCCCGCGTGCTGACACAGCAGCATCCATCCGAGAGCCCAGAGACAAAGTGAGCCCTCCCTTTTATATCTTCTTGTTTCTTTGTCTAGCTACACAGTTTATAATTGGCTACCTATAGCAGTTCTAGTACTAGTTTGCTCTCTATTGGTTAGCCATAGCTCAGGGAGGCAGTTTGAAGCCTGATTGGTGGGGAAGCAGCTTGGAGACCTATTTGAATCTGATTGGTTACTTCAGACACAGGGCTGCAGAAAAAAATCCCTTATGTCTTTGAAGAAGAATTCCACTTTATGGCAGTCTGCTAATAGAGTGTGGTTTATCACAGGTGGAGGAGGTTGCTTGCTGGAAACTACGCAAGCAAGTGGGATGGAGGTAGCTGCACTTTGTCAGAAACTGAGGTTTTGATATTTGATTCTTACAGCAGTCTGCACTTGAGGCAGTTCTCTGTTGACCTGCTGTTCCATTAGTTTTTGAGTAATCTTCAGCATAATCTTTCTTGCATGTGATATCAATGATACTGTTCGATAATTTCTGACTCTATCAGATCACCTTTCTTTGGAATGGGAACAAATAAGATCTCTGTTGGTTGGCCAGGTGGTTGTCCTCCACATTTCTTGGCATAACTTGATGAGCACATCCAGGGCAGCATCTGTATGTTGAAATATGTCAGTCGGTGTGCCATCAATTTCTGGGGCCTTGTTTTTTTGCCAATTCTTTCAGAGCAGCTTGAACTTATTCCTTCAACAACAGCAAGAACAGGCTCTTGCTCATACATTGTTTCATGAAATTATTCTTTGTCAGCCAATTCCTTTCGGTACAATGACTCTGTATACTCCTTCCATTCTTCTTTTAATGCTTCCTGGATCATTTAATCTTCTGCCCAAAGCATCCTTAAGTATTACAACTTGAGGTTTGAATTTGTTCTTCAGTTCTTTCAGCTTAAGAAATGCTGAGCAAGTTTAGCCCTTTTGATTTTCTGCCTCCAGCTCCTTGCATATTTCATTGTAATACTTTACTTTGTCTTCCCACGCTGCCCTCTGGCAGTTTCTGTTCAACTCCTTAATATCTTGGTTTCTTCCCTTAGTATAACCTCAACGTAGAATAATTTTAATTTCATTAGAGCACCTAGAAGCCAAAGTTAAAGGAAGAAATCAAAGAGCTGAACAGAAAATTTCAAAAGGTAGCTTGGGACTACAAAGCAAGATACTGTAGTGAAATGGGCAGAGTGCTGGAGTCAGAAAATCATAAGGGCCAAACTCGCTCAGTTTCATAGCTGAAGGAGTTGAAAAACAAATTCAAGCCATGGGTAGCAATACTTAGAGATAGTTTGAGTAGAATGTTAAATGATCCAGGAAATATCAAAAGAAGATGGAAGGAGTACACAGAGTCATGTATCAGAAGGAACTGGCTGACACAGAGAAATTTCATGAAATAATATATGAGCAAGAGCCTGTGGTGATGAAGGAGGAAGTTCAAGTTGCTCTGAAAGAATTAGCAAAAACAAGGCTCCAGGAGTTGACAGCATACCAATTGTTTTATTTTAACAAACAGACGCTGCCATGGATGTGCTCACTAAGTTGTGCCAGGATATCTGGAGGACGGCCAGCTGGCTAACTGACTGGAAGAGATTGCTATTTGTTCTCATTCCAAAGAAAGGTGACCCAACAGAGTGGAAATTATCGGACAATATTATTGATATCACATGCAAGTAAGATTCTGCTG